TTTTTACCTGTGTGGCCTAGGGCAAATTAAATTTTCTGTGTCTTAGTTTTCTCATCTACAAAATGAGGGAAATAATAACACCTCTTAATGTTGTTGTGAAGATCAAAGGAGTTAACAAATATAATGGGCTTACAGCAGTGCTTGGCAGAAAGTACAGTAGTTTTGTATTTTTATGTATTTTTATGTCAGTGCAAAACTGAACTCTGACTTAGATACATGGGAGTGAATTACTTGGACATGAAAAAATCCTATAGTTTTGCTTCAAGCAGTATAGTTCTTTGTCTAACAAATTTATGTCTGATTATAAGCTATTAGTGCCTGTTAAATGGGACTGTTTGAATTTAGCAATTATGAGTGAACGTCTCTCTTACTTGCCTTGATATTTGAATAAAGAAACTACCGTCATTACTGCTGACTTACTCAGATAAGATTTATAGAGTACTGGTCTTACTCATCATGTTTACACTTTAAATGAAAAGTTCTGACCCTGGCTGTACTTTAGAAGCAACTGGGTCTCCCCAGACCACTTGAATTGGAAACTGTGGGTGTTGTGGTATTAAAAAAAACAACTGTAAGTGACTGCAGTGTGCAGACACGGTTGAATACCACTGACTTGTAGCATTAGTAATTTAGTAAATACCCGATTAGTTTCTGACATTGGCTGGCAATTTTATCATAATTAAATAAAGTGATGTTGCTATTTGTGGATGTTTCTTTAAGGTAGAACTATTATTTTTATTAAAAACAAGTTTACAAGGTTTTAAATTATCTCTTTTTTTTCTTTTTACCATGATGTAGGGCTGTGTATATTAAAGAAGAGTGTAGGGTCACAGAATGTGGGATGTGGGAGCGCTTCTCTAGGGCATCTAGTGGAAAGATGATGCACTGTGAAGCCAGTATGGACTTGCAGTGACTTCTCCTCTCACAGTGTGTGTGGCCTCGTGGTACTCGTGCCCCCAACCCCCCAGGACATCTCTGTAAGATCGAAATGAACATGCACTTTGCAATGAAGTGTGCTTCATCACACACACACACACACACACACACACACACACACACACAGAGCGTTGACTCCCTGCCTCCTGCATGATCCCCGCACCATCTGGCGCAGATATCCAGAGCAGGGACTGTGTGGGAGTCTCACCAGGACTGTCTGAGCCTACAGGGCCAGCTGCTGGGAACTGCTCCCTCCCACTCTTCAGGGATCAGATCTCTAGCTCTGCTGGGACCGTTTCAGGACTAGTTATTTGGATCCCATGACCTTCTGTGAGCATAACATTTTGTCTGTGGGCTCAGGCACCGCTAGCCAAGCAGCCTGATGCTGTCCATGAGACCAGAGCTGAAGATGGCCTCTCAGTAGAAGCTTGTGGCTATCCTTTGCTCCAGCCTCAGAAAGTACCTGCGAAGGATACGTATAATTGCTTTCTCTTTGCCGCTGTCTTCCTATCCATACTTTTTTGTGCTAGGTTGGGAGAGTAGGAGGCCACCATCTATAACTTAGTTGGGAGGAAAAGTCATTGAGAAAAATCAGTCTTTCTTAATTTTATTTGTGTGATAGGAACAGTGGATTCTCTTGCCCCCCTCACCCTTGTCTCTTGGATCCTCCAGGATAAATCTTTAAAGTTATTGGGCCTCCCAAATCACCTGTTGTTCATTCTTTGTGTCCAAGGAGGGTTCATTGGTTGGGGGAAAGCTAAGGAGATGCCTTCCCAAAGGAGAGATTAGAAAGACTGTGTATCTTCAAGACCCTTGCTTTGCATCACCAATGTACTTGAGAACTTAGTAGAGGCTTGTTGAAGAAATGAATGCTATCATCATCAAGGTAGAAGTCACTCTTATTAAAGGTTTGGCCCATTTGTGGTGTTCAGTTCATGCTTTTCATTCAGGTGACACTGATAATTTCATTTAGGGTTGAGGCAAGCAAAGTCTGAAGAAGGATGAGGTGAATGCATGGGGATAAGACTTTCTAGAGGAGTGAGAACTGTGATGAAATCAGTCTTGACTTGCAGGATATACTCTGCAGACAGCCCCTATGCTTGTGGGTTAGGCTATTAGAATGTTCCCACTGACTTCGGCAAGAAAGGGGAAGTGTTTAAATGCTCTACCAACTTGAAGCTTTGTTGGTTGTTCCTACAAAACATTTTCTTTTAATGTATTTGGAAACTATAAGTTTAATTCCTGCTAAGTGTTGAAATAATTGCTTCACACAAGAAAAAAGTCAGTGCTGTGAAGGGCTTAGCTCCTTTCACAAACACATGTTTTTTAATGACTGGGAAATTCCTAGTATAGGAAATAAATGTCCTTTTGTACAAACAAGGTCATTCTGGCCTTAATTGGCTCTGTACACTCCAGTTCCTGATTTCTGTTCCATGTTTTGTGACCAGAGGTTACTGGAGAGATAATCCCTCTGTGGATATTCACTGCTTCTGGGGCATGTTGCCAAAGGGAAAGTTATCCTAGCTCAGAAACTGCCAACCCAGTGCAAGAGGCCCAGATTCCAGTGCTGAGGCGGTGACTGATAATGATCTGGTTTAGGCTGACCGTAAGTAGGGTTGTTAAAGCACACTTTCCTTGCATACTACAACCCCTGTATCTGCTTCATTCTCTTTACATTTCATAGCTGCTGAGCTGATTCTTGGTTCAGGAATGATTTCTCCTTGCTAGGTACATTCCATGTACTGTGCTTTGATTTCGCCCTGATGAGTGGAAACATCTAAACCCATCTGAGATCTCGTTTATCTTTTTAGTCTGGTATAAATGAAAAACAGCTGCTGAAAGAAGTTGCTCTGTATCATTCCTTTGAATGCTTGAAGGGCTGATTCTCCCTAAAATTGATTTGTGAATTGGCTTGGTGAATGTCAAGAATATATCCTGGGTCTTAGATTTGTACTATGAAAACCTCTTCCTTCATGGTATTAGGGTGAATTTGGAGTTTTGGCAGACCTCTGGTGTCTCCCTTATATTACGTGTCTTTAGGACAGTCACTTGGAATGACTGGGGATTAGGCATTTACATTTCTTGTTTTTGTCTTTTTCAGACAGGGCCTCTCAATGAAGTTCAGGCTGGGCTTGAGCTCACTTTGTAGCCTAAGCTGGTCTCAAACTCACAACGATCCTCCGCCTCAGCCTCCTGAGTATTGGGATTATAGGTGTGCACCACCACGCCCAGCCTAGGCGGTGACATTTATTAACTGCTTCATAGGCAGCAGCACAGTGCTGGACTTCCTACAGATTATTATTTTAGAAGTACCAAGTTCATGTAGTTAATTAGTGGTAACCACAAGATTACCAAGCTATGGTGCTGCTGAATAACTTGCATCAGAATCACATTCCTTGAAAACTTGTCTTTGGTTGGAATGGATGGATAGTTCGATAAGCCCTTGATGGCATTTTCTGTTTATTTGACTAAAGGTCTTTGTTATTTGAAAAACTATTGACACTGAAAATTTGATTTCTCTTTCATAATTTCTTGGTAATATCTAGGCTCTGGAATCTTTGTGTCCCATTTGCACCTTCTGAGACTGAAAGGCCAAGTTTGAGCCTTGCAGACTAAGTAAATCTGAAAGTAATTTCTTGATCTTGGATTTTTAAAAAACTATTACATCTTGGATTGTCAGGAGGAAGAGAGGATTATAAAACTGAGTTATGAACTACTTAAATTTTTTTTCTGTCACCTCCCACCCTTCTGCATTCCCTCTAGGAGATTCTAGCAAGACCTTTTGCTTGAACTCTCTTGGGATACAAAGGAAGTCAGGCTGACTTGTTCCTGAAATGATGACTCTGGGGCTCTGGGCCATTTGCTTCCCACCCTGGACTAGCTTTTCTGTTTGTCCCCTCAGATACAGTGCTATTATGACTGAAAGAAAAGGATGATCTAACTTTAAAACTATCTCTCATGTTCTTACACTAGGGAGACAACACAATGTCTACACATATGGGTCTGATTTATTTCACTTTTTAGTGCTGTCTCTATTTACATCCACTTACCTATAAAAGCCTCGTTTATCTTTTTTTTGTTAATAGCTGGTAATATTCCATTGTATTAAAAAAGCACATCTTTTTTATCCATTCCTCAGTTGATGGGCATTTGGGTTGTTTCCAAGATTTAGCTCTGACAAATTGTGCTGCTGTAAACATGGTGCACATATATCGCTGTGGTATGATGTTTTTAATTCTTCTGGGAAAATACCCAGAAGAGGAATAGCTGAGTTAAGTGGGACCTCCAATCCTAGTTTTGTGAGGAATCTCCACACTGATTTCCCCAGTGGTTTCACCAATCTATACTCCCACCAGCAGTGGAGAAGGGTTCCCTTTTCCCCACAGCCTGTCTAGCATTTTGAATTCCTATCATCTTGTTTGGTGAAACTCTGTATCATTTGTAATTTTCTTGTTTTTATTTTTTATTCTCTTTAATGGTTTGATTAATCTTGCATTCTTACATCTGGTAATCTGCCCAACTTCGATGAGTATAAAAATATGTCATATCACAACCACTGTTAATCCCTACCATTTTGTTCTGAAACCCTGTATCATTCTTATTGTTCACACTTTGTTTTGTTTTTGTCTGTGTTGTTGGCATTTTGCTCTTGTTCTTTTTCAAAATTCTCTTTAAAATAAATTAAAAACTGTCATTATAAAGTTGACTATTTTTAATCCAATTTACCACTGTATTTGCTAAACCATCCTTAAAAGTTTTGCTGAAACATAAAAGAAAATATGAAGATGTGTCCTTTCATTTCAGTTGGTCAGTACATGTGCAGATTACTTTTGCTGGGGAGGAAAAACTGTGATCCCCGTTTCTGTAGCACATCCTGCCCGTTACTCCCAAGGCCCACTTAAACTCCAGGCAACCAATGAATATTGTGTTGAACTTCATAGCGGCTTCAACAGAATTGAAAAAAATATGACTAGTAAATTTTATCATACTTGAAATTGGAAAATTTAGATAATTGCTGAGTGCCTCATTTGTTCCAATCAGGTAAATACATGGCTCAGTGCAAAATGGGTTACTATCATAAGGTGAAAGCTCTCTTGAGATAAATCAGAGATGATATATCTGCTTATGATGTTTAGAATGGGAATGACACTGATTTGCTGATAATATTTTTTTTATTATTGTTCTTATCCTATAGCCTCAGACGATACAACAAACTCTCAAGAGGACACTGCAGTATTATGAGCATCAAGTTATTGGGTGAGTAAAAATGGACTTTATCATTAATGGAACAAATTAAAGATTGCGAAAACACAGCTATTGAGCATGTGGTCATGCTGCTGTTCAGGTCAGCCATCTCTTATTGCGGTTATTTCTCAAAGTGTGGGGAGGGAGTAATGAGGGTCCATTGGAGCAATTTCCTTTGGTTTATTTATATTCACTTCTTTTAAAAAATAAAATTCCAATTGGTATTGATTTCTTCCTTTTTTCCCTTCTGTGTTCTTATCCTCTCTTTCCAAGATTCAGTCTCTTAATTTTGCCTTACTACTGTGGGAAGGTTTATTGATACGAAGTGGGAATGGAATTTTAGAATTCTTACATAGAGTCTACTCAAAATCCCTGTGAGTTTAACACCTTTCAATGAGAATTGTTGGCTGAGGTAGGGTCAGTGCTGCATGTTTTTTGTATGGTCTCCTATTTCACAGCCTTTGTGATATGGTGTGAGGTTTGAATACTTGGTGTCAAAGAGTAGGAACTGAAGCCCTCATCAGCACATATAACTTTTAAAGAGTCATGTTCTCTCTTTTGTGAAATGTGGTAATATCGACAGTAACTAAGTCAAGGATTAGATAGCATGAGTAGATGGGAGAATTTCCATGCAAATGTTTAGTAAACAGAAAACTCCCGATGGATGCAAGGTACACCTTTGGTTGGCTATGGTAGAAAAAAATGATAAAGAGCAAAAACCTGAATTTACTTTCTCACAGAATCTAACTTTTTAAATTAAATTCTTTGACATTAGATGCAATGTGCATTTTATTTCAGCACGTTAGTATTTTGTATTTGTTACAGTGATTTATCTTTGTAAGATTTTAAGAACTTTGGGGGGGGCATCAAGATTCAAATTCTAGTACTCCTTCGAATGTAAAGAATCACTTTACATCATGGCTTACAGTCATTGTTATGGGCACAAGAACAGATTTTAGGCTGGTAATAGTTTTTTTTTTTTTTTTCTTAACAAAACAGAAGCAAAGAAAACAAAACAAAACAAAAAAAACACACAATGAATGAAAAAATCATCTCTTGTACCAAGCACAACGTCATATACTTTAAGTGCTTGATGATTATGTTAATTGCATTTCAAAGGGAATTGCTTTGTTGTATTAATTTTCAAGAGTGCGGTACTAGGGAAAGAATATTTAAACTTCTGAGATGGCTTTTAGTTTGAGGTCATTAGTGATTCCAGATAGTTTATCCTAATAGAGCTAAAAAATGTCAAATTATCTTCCCTCACATATTTTAAAATAAAACTTAATCACTGTTATTCAATTTATTACCTTCAGAGTATGGTGAGTAGATTTAAATTAGTTAATATAATTAGAACACTTTCTCATATGTGGTAAGAGCTATATACTTGTTTGCTCTTTTGTTTATTCTTCTTACTAATAATTTGAGGACAATACCAGTCATCAAACTCAAATCATTTTCTGGAATTGTGAATGCCCTCTCTTTTTTGAAACTAGAGAACTGGTGACATATTTCAATTTGTGAACGAAATTAGTACTTTAAGGGTAATTGGCATGGTACTCTTATAATATGATCAAAAGAGATACTCAAACTATTATTTTGATAATCACCAGAATATTCTTTTTGCCTTTAGTAAGACAGTGTTCTCTTTTATCTGTTTCAACTTTCTTTTCTATCTGTGTTGACACGGTCTGTGGTATTTCTTCTGTGCATTGCCAGTGGTCTTTTCCTTGTTCTGCTTACTGTAGACACAACATAAAATAAACAGAAAATTTCACTCTGTTCCAAAGTGGTGTCCTGATGGAAGCAAATAGACCTGTTGACATATTTCTGTTTGAGTGTCGGCTAATTTTTAGGAGTTGAAGTACCTTTGCTCACTCCCTTTATTTGCATCAATGCTGACAAAGACATCAAAGACTAGTTGGAGGTAATATTGTCCCCTTTGCCCTTCTGTCTTCCATTTTTCTTTTCCCCTCATCACACAGCTTCCTTTCCCGGCATCTTTTGCTGTCTTGACTCCAACTCCCTACTTCTTATTTATCTGTTTGAAACGGCAAAAGGAGTGCAACTAAGATCATTAACACTTGCGCTAAAATGTATCCATACTTTGTGTTGTTTTTCTAAAAAAAAATACAATTTAAAGCTTTTTTTTTTAAACTGTGAAAAGGAATGTGTTTGCTTACAGTTTAGGGGATTTCAGGCAATGGAGAGTAAGTGCTAGCAAGCATTATTTTGCAGCTGTGGAGAAGATGCTTTTCTTAATTTCTGAAACTGGGATTCTTAAAGGCTTATCTTGAAGTAGTTCAGCTTTCTCATGCCTTCAGTTGTGAGGGTGAAGCAGGACAGATAACAGTAAATGAGATAGCCCTTCTCTTTTTAATATCTTAATTTACCCAAAACTATTGACTTTCCCATTCTGCCTTTCCTGTTTTTAAAAATCTGCCCTGGGATCGGATTTATTTATCACATTCTAAGATTGTAAAATCTGCTCCTTGAACTCTTATCCTGGTTGCTCGTAGACACTCTGAGGTGCTTTTTGTCTCCCAAGACCTAGACTTGAATGCAGGGCATCTGCTCAAAGGATCACAGATGGAGAGTGCGAGGCAGTGGGTGGGGGAGCCTCTTGTAAGGGAGTGAGATAATCTTTCTGAACTGCAGCCACTTACTTTGAACACTTCTCTTTAAACATTTATTCCATCCCTCAATTTATCCATTCATTCATTCATTTATCTATTCATAGAGATCATTTACACTGGGGAAATGAGTGCTGAAATAATTTATTCATGCCATTTGATAAATCTTTTTTTTCATCTCTACTATTTTCATCCTCCCTGATTGAGGCACTCTGATCTCATTTTCTGGCATTTCCTCCTATCACCCAATACTGGATTTTTTTCACCACAGCAAAGATATTAAAAACTTAGCTCTGGCTACTTTCTTACTTGAAGCAAAAGCTATTTAAATGTTAATCACAGGCACCTTGGGGGCTTACTGAAGTGCAGATTATTAGGCCCACTATATTAGGGTTCTCCAGAGGAACAGAACCTGATATATAAATACATTATTATGTATTATATGTTATATAAGTATATTAATATATTATGTGTGTATACATAATATGTATGTATATATATTATGTGTCATATACATAAGAATAGGGGGTTTATTAGGCTACATGTTCAAAAGATGAAAAGTCTTACGGTGGCCAACCCAAGCTGCAAAGTTGGGGCAGCCCGAAGCTGCTCAGTCCAAGAAGCTGGAAAGCACAGAATAAGAGGGACCTATTCTGTAGCCCCGGTGGGAGGGTGAAGGCCTGGAAGCCCCCTGGAGAGTCACTGGTACAGATCTATGTTCACAGCTGGAGGAATCTGGACCCTGATGTCTATAGGTGACGGAATCAGCCAAAACAAGTATACCTGCTCCCAAAGAGTTACCTCTGTGTGTGTGTGTGTGTGTGTGTGTGTGTGATTTGTCTTCTGCTTTTTGTTTATCCACGTTTGCAGCCTATTGGTGCTGCCCACATTCAGAGAGGGTCTTTTCCACTCAGGTCACTGACCCACAGGAAGTACCCTCACACTCATACCCAGAAGGCTGCTTGTCCAGTTTTCTAAGCAATCCCTCAGTTCACTAAGTTATCAAGCAAGAGTCACCATTGTGCCAACAGAGTTTGTGGTTCAGCAGGTCTGCGGAGGGTCAAGGGCTGATGCTTCGAACAGCCTCTCAGTTGATGCTCATACTACTACATTTGCCTTAAACCATATAATGGCTATTTATGACTGACCAGTATCTGAGTTCATTCTGTGATCTGCCCTCTGCTAATTTCATGCTCTTCTACCACCCGTTTTCCATTCCACTCCCACTATTGTTTGTTTGGTTTTGTCAACTATGTAAAACTTATCCTCAGGGCCTTTGTGTGTACCATTCTGCATTCAGGTGTTTGCATTACTTATTTTTCTATACATTCAGGTCTCTCTCAAATGTCAACTCTTCAGAAATGTCTACCTTACGTACACAGTCTCAAGTTGTAGTCTCTCTCCTACCTGAGTCTCCAACACCAGTCATCTTCTATTATCCTAACCTCTATAATTTCTTTTTAAAGTGCTCATCATTAACTGATATTATCTTGTTCTCTGATTTGTCATGTTTGTTTCTGTATCCCTGTGCTTTTGTAAGTGCTTGGCAGTTTTAAAACACTAACATTTTGGGGGGAATTGAAAGGGCAGTGAATAAATAAATAAATAGCACTCTAGAAGTGTGCTCAGAGATATTTTTAGAAGCATAGTTCATATGAGTAAATTAAGGTTGGGAAAAGGGGGTATAAAATGAGAGGTTGAAATAATCTCCCCTGCCCCTTACAGTGGTAAAATTTATCATTCTAGTACTCTAAGCCCTTTTCTTTATGGTATACATTGCACAGATTTATTTGCAAAGCTTTTAATTGCCACTGTGTGTCTGACTTTGTTGTAAATTCTGGTTACTATATAAGCTCTGCACAATGGTGCTGACTTGGAGAACCTCGTGTTTGCATAATTCTCTTTCCTTAACCTAAACTGAGCAAAGGGACAGCAAGTGTGTGTTTATGTAGGTTACTTTTTAACTAAAACTTCTAGAAAATGGGCTAGCTTTTGGGGCAATGTAGGGTGGAAAATCAAAGCAGAATGGGTCACTAGGAGACAGATAGGATTCAGTTTTGTAGTTTAAAGGAACTCAGAATTGAGGAATATGTGTTTATGATAGCGTTTTTTCTAATGTCCGTTGTGACAGTTTCTTATGCCTTTTCTTCTCTTGGTTTGTCTTTGTTGTGGAGAGATTGTGCTTTGGAGGTGAGTGTGTAAGACCTTCATAGAATTAAAGGCATGTTCTGTGACTGTTATCTTGGGCATGTTCCTTAAAATTCCTGAGACTCAGTTTTCTCATTTTAAAAATGAGAATAGCAACAGAGTTGGGGGGATGCTTAAATGAAATTTTAATATGTTGAGTCATATAATCACATAGCCACTGCAGGGCCTGGA